GTGCCTGGGTCACCCTCAGCGTGTGAGTGGACTCACATAGGCCATCCTTGTGAGGGGCTGGCTAATGTAGGAATCCCCCTATCTTCATGGAGCACAAAGGTTCAACTCTGGGTACGTAGGTGCATATGCAAGGAACAGCTGTGTCTCTCCCTCTGCTTCTCCCTAGAGGCCCAGAATCTTAGCAGCAGTGCATAAAAGGGAACAACTTGGTTTCTAATATTTGAACCCTTCTGAAGTACAACTTTTCCCCCCATAATCTCTCTTAGTCTTTACTTGAACACCCTTGATGACAAGAAGCTCACTATTCCACCTGAGTTTCTCCAGGATGCTTCAGTGGGCACGTTTTGTGAGCTCTTCTCAGCAGTAGGGCTGCCATGTGGGTGCTCAGCATTCTACTGCTGGTCACCTCTGGCTGTGGACAACCTTATCCATTACGTTTCCCCCAGTGAGTTGTACAGATGGGATCAATTTCTGTGTAAGCCACATGGGAAAATGTTAGGAAGTGCTGCATATCACACTTTTGTCAGCCCTGACTTCTGTGTCCTCACACAGAACTCATGCCATTTTTCCCCTGCATTTCCCAACTGAATTCTGCCCTTTGTGGGCCAAAAGGTCAAGTCCATTCCCCAGCAGCTTTTTAAATATTGGTAGTTTGTCCTTGTAAGTTTTTATGGCCAGATAAACCCAATTCCTTTCATATTTCTCCCATGACATGATTTGAAGCTCATTGCCATCCTGGTCACCCTCCACTGTCTAAATTTCTGTAAAACATGATGTTCAGCAGCAAACCCAGTTTCCAAGGGAGGGCTGACCCTCCAGAGTCAGATTGGGCCTATTATCATTGTCATCTTGGACTTTGTGTCTCCGTGCAAGCAGCCCTACCCCATTAGTTTGGCAGGAAGCTTTTCACAGGGTTGATACTTTTATGGTCTGGAAACCCTAAGTCATTTTCTCAAGGACTGGTTGAGACCTTTTCCCAGGATCACATCCAAGGTTCAGAGATGCCTGTCAGAGGCCATCATTGCCTTCCACTTTGTGTCCTTAGTTAAGAAGAGCCAACTGGAAAATATTTTTGGAGTGATCATTATGTGTTCAGCTTTTTCATTCTGCTCCCAGAAAGGAAGAGTGACAGAGGGCACTGCAGTTGCTTGAGGGCCCTACAGGGACAGCAGGGCTGTCTCCTTTGGTTCCTTCTCTTCATCTGCCCTACCTATCCTCTTCTGCCTGGGGTCCTGTACCCTGTTCCTGCAGTTCTTTGCTGCTCTTTTCTGTTCACACTTGCTGGAGGATACTGCCTAGCTTTGGGATGCTGGGTTTAAGAGTGGGTAGGGTGCTAAGGTCTGATCAACTCTTGTCCAGCATCCTTATAGCAGGTCAGGTTGTCCATCCACCCTCTACCCCAAGCTGGCAGTCAGATGCCAGGGAGAGAGATCCATCCTTATTGGCCTTAGGAGGATGTTCGCAGCCTTGGTCAGTGGCTCAGTGCTGAAGCAGATCACTGTATGCCAAATGCCCTCTGCTGACACATGATAATTGTGATACTATGGACTCGGGGCCTACTCCAGCCTTCTTGCTTGTTACTGTGTGTCTTTGGGGAAGCAACTCACCATCTCTGAGGCTCAGTGTTAAAATCTGTAATACGGGAATGCCAGAGCTGATGTGCAACTTAAAAATGTTGTGTGGTCAGGGGCTCACAGAGTGCCAGGTGGCTTCTCAAGACTCAGTCCTCTTTTTATTAGGATCCTTCTACTTACAACAGAACCAATGCTTTTCAGGGTGAGGAGTCTGACAGAAGTGGGGATGACTTAGGGTAGGGTGGCTGAGGCCCACTGTCCCCAGGGCTGCCATCTCAGGCACTGGGCTCCTTCCCAGGGCTGGACCTGCCAGGCTGGAGAGCTGGAGAGTTTTCCACAGGAGCTGCTGCTGCTGTTGCTGCCGCTGGCACTTCAGGTCCTGCAGGAGCTGTCGACTCTGCCCCTGGCTCTAGTGACACTGCAAGTAAACAGCAGTTGTCAGAGTCGATTTAATGTTGATATTTTTATCACATAGCAGGGCCCGGTGCCATGGCAAGGAATGACAGAAGCAGAATGCTAAATAATTTCTCTAAATAATGCACGCTCCCCAGGCTGCTTGGGGGAGGGGGGGACTGCAAAAGAGTGTGGCGTCTGGCTTGGTTTTCAGAATTTGTTCAAGGGACTCATTAAGTCCCTTATCTCTGGGGTCTGGCTGCTACCAGCCTCCTGGGGGCTAGTTCCTGGCAAGTGGAGGCAGCCACAGGGCAGCAGTGGGAGGCAGAGCTGGGGGCAGGCTGAGAGCAGGGGCTCAGACTCAATAAGAACTTGTTGATCTGGTTCAAAAGAAGAAAGAGGGGACAAAGGAGCAGAGGAAGAACTGAGAGTTAGGGTCAGAGGCAGAGATGGAGAGACCTGGAGGGACAGGGGAAAGAAGGCCACAACCCAATCCATCAGGGACATATTGTGGCTGACTCTCATGGAAACCTTGTGGCCAACCAAATCCTAACATAGCACCCAAACCCCAGGAGTGTGGCATGGCAAAGGTTTATTTCTTGTTTGCACTCCCGCTGATGCAAATTGGGATGGCTCTTAGAAGATCTTCAGGAATGATGCAGGGATCCTCCCTTTCCATATCAACACAAGGTCTGTAAAGGAAGGAGACAGAGCGTGAACCAACACACATGGACACGTGGCCAGGCTAGGAAGTGTCACAAGCAACTTCTGCTTACATGCACTAGCCAGGAGCCAGGCAAACAGCCCCTGCTGAGGTGCAGAGAAGACTGGGAAATTTAGCTTTACTGAGAGTCCAGGGAGAGGTAGATGCCCTGAGATCTGGTAAACACACTGTGTCATGTCTGTTATTCCATCTGAGACATTATCTCCACCGTCATCTTTCCTCACCCCATCCCGTCTGTACTTCTCCCTAGGACCTCACCTTGACTCACCTTTCTACTCCCCTCCGTCAAACAATCCCTCCTATCCTCTGGTGCCCCATCCCATGGTGCATTAATCCTCCTACATTCCCTGCATTTTCTCTGAACTCTCCTACCTCCCAGCTCTAACCAGAAACTGGCTTTCTTTGGAGGACAATGGTTCCCTAGCCGTGTCCCTCAGGGCTGGGAGGTGGGGTCGGCATCCTCCTCACACTTCATAGCCTGGTTTGGACCCTTGCATAAGGAGCTCCCCAATGGGCTGGTGTAGTCTGGCTTGATCTTTTCTTTCCCTCCTCATTGTGGTCACCCACTGGCCTCTCAGTCACTCTCTCTGATTCATTGAACACATGGCATCTGCTGAAGTTTTCATCCATATGCCAAAGTCCTGGGAACTTTAATGTCCACATGGAAAACTTATCCAAAATCCTGGCCAGTCTGTCCTCTCATCTCTTCACAATTTCACACACACACACACACACACACACACACACACACACACACACACACACTGATCTTCATCTTTGCTCCACTTTAGGCAGCCACCCCCACAGTGATGTCAGGGTCTTATTGTCCATAATTGCTCCCCCTTTGAAATCCTACATTCATACATCCTGCAGTTTTGACCACAAATTCTTATCTACCAAGTTCTCCTGCTCAGTTTCTTCTATTAAGTGTGCTTTTCACTCTTTTGGTGAATCCCTTAATTTCTTCACCTTACTCATCCGTATTTTCTTTCTCGACCAGTTTAAATTCTCTGGTTGATCATTTCAACACTGTATTAATCAGGATTCTCCAGAAAAACCAAACTAATGGGTGTTTCTGTATGTGATATATACATTCATTACATATGTACTATAAAGAATTGGCTTACATGATTATGAAGGCTGAAAAGTCTCCAGATCTGCAGTTGGCAAGCTGGAGACCCAGGAGAGAGGATGTATAAATTTCAGTTTGGCAGCTGGGAGGCTCAAGACTAAAGAAGAGTCAATGTTTTGAGTTCAAGTTCCAGACAAGGAAGAACTTCTCTGCCTGGTGGCCATTAGGTAGGAGGAGAATTGCTCTTGGGAGAGTTGAGTTTTTTTGTCTTACTCAGGCCTTCAGCTGTCTTAATGGGATCCATCCATATTAGAGAGAACCACCTGCTTCAAAACCTACAGATTCATATGTTAATTTCATCCAGAAGCGCCCTCATAGACACATCCAGAATCATTTTTGATCCAATGTCTGGGCACCCGTGGCCCAGTCAAACTGACACCTACAATTCACCACCACTGCTACCTTTTTGTATTCTCAGGCACTTTGCACCGCTGCTTCAGTCTCATAAGATGGAAAAACTCTAAACTGGATCAGTGCAATGGCTTACTCTTTTCACTTTTTTTCTTCTCTCTTTCCCTAAACTTTTGGTGTTTATCAGTGTTCATTCTCTGGCACTGCTTTACTTTTACTGGACAAATTCTCTCTGGTTATTTAAGTTCAACCCTATGACCCTAATTATGATCAGTCTGCTGATGACTGGCAACTCGTCTCTACCCAGACCACTTGTGTGTCCCACTCTTGGCTGCCTATCTCTAAAACTTAATCATCAGCCCCATCTGAACAAAAGTGTTCCTCTTCTTGCGTTCCTGCCCTTGGAAAATTCATTCATTTGGCTCATATTTATTCAGCGCCTGCTCTGTGCCAGGCAGTGGACTAGGCTCTGGGTACCCTCTGTCTGGCTGCCCAAGCCAGAAAGCCTCAAGTCAGATTTGACTCCTCTTTGATTTTCCATCTTTTAAAGCCACAAAATTCTGCCAGATCTATCTTTGCAGTATTTTTAAAATGTCTCCTGGTCTGTCCACTCTGACGGTTTCCTGGATCCTGTAGTTTGGATCTGAAGTGTTCTCCCGTGGTCCATGTGGTGCTACTGGGAGGTGATGGGATTTTTAAGAGGTGAGGCCTGCTGGGAGATCTTTAGGTGATTGACTGTTTGCTCTTGAAGAGGACAGTGGAACTCTAATTTCTTCCTTTTCTTTTATACCTCTTCCCAGCCATAAAGTGAGCAGTTTTGCTTGGTCATGCATTTCCTCCATGATGTGCAACCGAAAGCAATGGGGCCAACTACTAATCACAGACTGAAGCCTCTAAAATTGTGAGTCAAAATAAACTGTTTTCTCTATAAATTGATTATCTCAAGTGTTTATTATAGTAATGGAAAGCTGACTTACTACCTCAACTCCCAAATTTATCTTCCTACTTTCAGTTTTGTCCCCTGTAATCCCTCATCTCTATCAAAATAGGTTATTCGCACCACCATGCTACCACCAAATCTTTAGTAGACTGAAATTGGTAGATTGAAAGCTGGTCTTTGCTGTCAGCCTTCCCAAGGGCCTAAAAACAAACCTGCTTTTATGTGACTTGACCTCTGCTTACGTCCACAGGCTCATTTCTCATGGTCCCTGTCCTTGTCTATGATACAGACAAGATGAAGAATTTGTAGGCCCAGGCATGCCATGTTGTCTCTTCTGCCTAGCCTTTCCTGCCTGCCCCTCTTTGCCTGGCAAAACTTTCCTGACTTGGCTAGTGTCTCTGAGATCTTTTTTCTCCAGAAGCTCCTGATCTTCCAAGACCAGCTCAGGTATTCCAGCCTAGCATCCTATCTTGCTTTGTCCTGGAAACCATTACAATGTAATTCACAGCTGCTTTATTCACTGTTGGTCCACCTTCACAATGAAGTTCTTTCTAGGGAAGGGCTGTGTGTATACAAATCATCATTTGTATTCCCAGCACTTCACATAGTAACTGTTATATAGTAGGTGTTCAATATATGTATGTTAAGTGAAAAAATAGGCAGTGAGACAGGCAATGTATTAAATGGCCCAGAGCTCAGTCTGGACCACAGTGGACAAGGGTATCCAAGGATAAGGAGGGACTCTAAAGGTACAGAATGAGGATGAAGCTATCACCACAAATTCTGGTACTTGTTTGGCAACCCCAGTGGGGATGGAAGTAGTGCTGAACTCTGGGTCAGAGAAGTTGGATTCAAGTTATGTTTCAGATATTTTTTAGCTATTAATGACTCATGGCAATTCCTTTAACCTTTCTAGGTCCTTGATTTTCTCATTTGTTAAATGGGGACATGAATGCCAAGCTCACACTATTGCCAGAATTAAATGAGGTGAGAGTTGTGGGAAGTGCCATGGATTTTCCAAATGTGATGAAAGTCGCTTCAGCATCTGTTAAGAACTTGGGTGGGTGGCAACCTTAGACAGGCATGGCTTGGTCACACACAAAAGGGAGCCAGGCACCCCAGGGCAGCTGCTCCCTGGAGTTTGGGGATAGAGTCTCAGTAGGACAGACAGTGCTACCTCTAAAGCTTGTGGGTGTACCCCAGCAGGAAGAAGTTCAGCCTGGATTTAGCTCCGACCCAGACCCAGGCCTCCTGCCTAGGAAATAGGCCCAAGGGTGTGCACTCAAGAAGTCACAGCTTGAGTGTGTCCTATGGGAGCAGGACAGCCAGACCCACCCTCCTGAACCTGGCAAGCTCCCAGTCCCCTTCCCTTGCTCTGTCTTTTCCTGGATCTGTACCTGTCCTTCCCCTGTCTTGTTCCCAGGGCCTCAGGAAGCCCACCAGAGCTAAAGAGGTACCTAAATGTGGGCTAAGAGGTCACTGAACATAGCAGGAAGGCTGTGAGGAGGTGAGGAGATGTGGGTTCCTGTTCTACCTTTGACACTTATCAGTTTTGTGGCCTGGACAGTTGCTTCTGGGCCTTTTCTGTGTCTCAAGAACAGAATTTCAAGCTCAGCACACAGGCTGTTGTGCAGCCCTGTAGGATCAAAGAGCTTAAACTACATGGGACTGGGATTTAGCTCAGTGGTTCCACCAACTGCCTCAAAAGCGCAAGGTCCCCAGTTACATCCCTGGTACCAAAAAACAAAAAAAACCCCAAATAGCAAAAAAACTAAAAAACCCTACTCTGTGGATCATGAATGCTGTGTAAAGATTAGGAATGAGCAGAGACCAGGCTTTGTAAAGGCCTCCATGGAATCTGTACATTAGTCCAAAGATGAGTCCTAGTCACACCTGTTGGATTCTAGCCCTGAACCAGAATGTGTCACAGGGGTTTCATGAGGGTGGATTCCAAAACAGGGAGTTTCCTCCTTGTGTGTCCTCCAGTTTTGGGGTTTCCTGGGGGCGGGGGGGCGTGTGTGTGAGGAGAACACAGGGCTGCTGCCCAGTTTCAGAGGAGAGGTGAGGAGGAGGGAGGTCAGAGGAGAGGGGGTGGAGATCAGGAGAGGGCAGGAGGGTAGAGAAGGAGGACTCTGAAGAGCTGGGCAGGCTGATGCCAGGACTCAGCAGTGCCAGAGATTTAAACTGGTTGCTTATAGTTGAGTGTTTAAAGCAGTTTACTTGTGTGCCAACTGTTCTTGGATGATTTTCCCTAAATGTTTTATGTTTTGTACTTGTGCCCAGAGGCAATTTTATGTGGTGGGGGCTCTTCTGTCAATCTGTCACTGCGAATGATTAAAAGAAGAAAGGAGGAAAGGGAGGTGCCCGTGTGCTCCCAGGGGTCTGGGGGAGGTCTGTGTGCATAGTCAGTCAGGCAGACCATCTGTTGGTCAGTCCACCTTCTGGACTGAGAGAGCCCATAAATTCCTTAAATGTGGCTGGATGAGGGTGCCCAAGGAATGGCTGCTGTTGTCTTTGCCCTCAGGGTGCATAGGATCAATTCTCCAATTCTCTGTCTCTTTTAATCTCTGTCTCTAATGCACACACACAGGCACACATCTACACACACACACACACACACACACACACACACAGAGGAAGCTTGAGTAACAGCTAATCTGGCTAGTGGATGATTCCCTATAGGGCATGATTTAGGAACCTCTGGGAGGATTCCCCATTACAAAACCTCTCCTCTATCCTATTACCTGGATTTCTTTTTCCTGAGAGGAGTAACTCTGACTTTTTTCAAATCTTAACTGCCAGGACAGGTACCAAGAGAGCAAACTATCTAATCTGGGACAAGGGCATGCTGCCAGCTGGATTCTTCTCTCTGTTTATAATTGTGCTGCTTAGGCACTGAATGCTAGCCACTCTGGCCTCAGAGCCTGGCTGCTGGTGGCTTCCGGACCAAATGGAATAATACCACAGTCAAAGGCCAGAGCACGAGCTCTGGGTGGCCTGGGATATGACCTGGCATGTTTAGTGTCCAGGACTGTGCCTGGCACAGTATTGTCATGACGTGAATATTTGTTAAATGGATGAATGAATGAAGACCTGTCAGAGCTCTAGAGTCAGGGTTTACTTTGTGAGCAGACTTTTATAAAATGCAGCTGCCCAGGCCAGAAGTTATGGAAAGCAGCCAGCGTGGAGTCAGACAGATCCAGCTTAGACTCAGCTTTCTTGACCCCAATGTGTGCAATCTCAGTTTCTTCATCTGTGAAATGGAAATGGATAAGGACCTCTCTCTTGTAGAGTTGTGGTGTGGATCAAATGTATAAGAATGTATAAGTTGGGAGGAAAGGCAAGCAAGAGGCTCAAGTGGCTGTGGGACTGGAAAGGAGGAAGGTTTGCTCTAGTAAACTCTTGCTGCAGGCTAGCTAGGCAGGGAATCCCTGAGGTAGGACTTTCACACCTCTGCTGGCCTGGGAGCCAAATCAAGCTCTGAGGTCTTGGTCCTGCAATAGTTGGTGGGGGACAGAGTGGAAAGCAACTCCTTAATTGAAACCGTTATCAGTCATTTCTGCCTTATTATATGTAACTTTGCAAGAGTTCCCTTGCCTTTCTGACCAATGGATAAAATGATGAACAGAAAGAGGATTATTTTAGGCCGGGATGATGCCGAAGGAAGCCTAAGCAGGGTGCCAGAAACCTGGGAAAGAGCAGAGAAAGTGGATCACTAAGGATTTGTTTTACTCTGGATACTCTTGCTTGGGAACTAGAAAATCAAAACATATTAACTTTCTACCACGTGCTTCACAAACCCATATTATTTCATCTAATTTTCATAAAAGCTCTGAAAGATGTTCATACAAGATACTATTTTCCCACTCTGAAGACGGTAAACTGCAGAGAATGGAAGGAGGCAGGCATGTGAGCTTGTGTACCAACCCCTGAAAACTGCATTTCTTGGTTGATGGGACTGTTATAGTGTAAAGAAGCTGAGGGTTGTTTAGGAGCTTTGGTCACTGAGGGGCAGTCCTTGTTTGAAAATCTGTAAGCAGTAAGGATGGGGATTTGGGGGACAGGTTCACATCCAACTCTGCCAGCCCCAATGGAGACAGCAACAGATTGTGAAGCAGGGTCTGGGTCCTGAGTTGGGAGGGTGGTCTGGAGCCGGGTGGTATGAATTCTGTCACCTGGCCCACTGTTCCCGGGTACCGGATGGTCTTGGGGCCATGTTACCCACCAGTGCGATGGCAGGAAATCATCTCTACACTGTGGTCCAGAGTCTGGGGTAAAGTCTGCATTCTGCTGCTTGCTGGCTGTGGAGCCATAGGTACAAGCCACTGGGTCCTCATTAGCCACCCGGTGGACTCTCTGGGACAGAGTTTGTGTCAGGGAGAGAAACTGTGGGGACAGAAAGGGTGAGCCCAGGGAGGGCCTCTTCCAATGCCAAGATGTTTGGATGTCAGCTTTAAATGAACACCCCATGTGTGCATCATGTCATAGAGGTGCAAAAAGCAGTGTCTGTGGAATTGATGAAATAACCTGGACAGGACCAGCTGCATAATTTGTGGGCTCCTGCAGTATAGAGGAGGCCAAAGGGCACCGCTGTCTCTGCACTGAGCAGACACAGAGGGATGTCTGCTCATCGCCTACCAGCCCTGTTCCCTCTCCCTCCCAAAGCCAGCACAAGGTAATAGTTTTTGATGCATTGCACTGAAATATAATAAAATATTTGCATGGCATTATTAGATAAATAAGGGTTGACTTGAAGCAGTGCTTATTGGGAAATGTGATATGAAAATTCATTTAATATGAAAGAACGTGGAAGCTTAAGTTTATGGTAATGGATTGATTGCAGATAGTATCTAATAACTCCATATAAATATATTTCAATCACAATATCTGTCGGGTTGGTCCCTGGTTCCACAGGCACAGGGGGTGATTGTATGCCTGACTTCTCTTCCGGGCCAGATTAG